TCTCTCTGCCCCTCCCCTGCTTGCTCTTTATCTCTCTCTCAAAAGTAAATAAAAATAAACTTGAAATACAAAGAAAAAAAAAACAGGTAAGAAATCCGTGGGGACACTGGACCGTGTGGCCGTGCGTGGATGCTTGTGTCACTGCTCGGAACCAGCCGGTCTCCAGGCCTGAGGAGCACTGGTTGGAAGAAGGAACGTGCTCAGACGGGCCTGCAGGTGGAAGTGTAGGTGCCCTCACAGTTCGACTCTGTAGGTGCCCTCTGTCTCCCTCTCCAGGGGCCTGGTGTGGATCCCAGCAGGGCTGGGAGCTCTGGGGCAGGTGCCAAGCCCTCTCTGCTGCCCTCTGCTCAGAAAGGGGCCTCCTCCCTCATCAGACCCCTGGGACCAGTGCTGGTTAAGGACACGAACTTCCCAAAGCATGCTGGGAAGGCAGGATGGCCAGAGAGGAACCCTAGGGTTGATTAAGAGGACCCAAACCATTACACAGCTGTGCCTCCCATTTCTTTTACTGGGCCGTAAAGCCCTGAAAGTTCCCGCTTTGCACGATCTCACCCCCACCCCAGCCTGCATTGCTGGCCACGGGATGAAGGCATTAGAAATACTTATCAACTCCAGGAGGGCACCCAGGCTCCGGAGTGGTCTGACTTAGCATGTGACCTTGGGTGGAACCTTCTAGGCTTCGGTTTGCCCAGAATCCATAAAAGGGGGTGATCCATTCCTGCCCTACCTGTCTCTGAGGGGAGGCAGCAGTCCAGAGAGGAAACACGCCATAGTTTGAAGACCAGCAGATTTGTGCTCAAATCCTGACATCCCTGCTTCCTAAGTGGCATCCGAGGGCCTTTACTGGTTGTGTCCAGTACGCAGGGTTTTTGCAATAAATCAAGACAAAGCAGGTGCAAATAGCTGACATGGAGTTTATTGGTTTATTGTCTCTACCCACCCACTAGAGTGTCAGCCTCACGAGGCAGGGATTGGTTTTACTCGCCGCTGCAACCTAGCACCCAGGGAGGTGACTCCCTAAGCAATCGCTGATTGAATGGATGGACGTAACAGGTGCTCGATGTATGATAACTCCCATTGCGACTCTAAAGCGTGCTGAGACTAAAAGCACTTGAACTTCATGGTTGTCGACAAAGGAAACGCTGGAAAGCAAGAAATAACCTTCAAGGCTGGCGTGGGTCTGTCTGTGGACCCGTCTGCCGGGTTCTGAAAGACACAGGGACTCTGGGCTTATCTGGACAGGAGGATGGACACGATGCGCCCACAAGCGCCAAGCAGGAACGTCCATGAGTGAGGCCGACTGAGTGGGGGTACTTGGCCAAGTGGGGAACTCCCACGCGGCCCAGTAGGGCTCCCTGTGTGTAGCTGACGGTGGCCGGGTGAGAGTGCGGGCCCCGTTTGCGAGCACAACTGATTTTGCCAGGCAAGCCAGAAATCCGATGGAAAACGATTCATTTTGAAGAGAAAAACACTACATGAGAGCAAACGACATCCATCTGTGGGCTGGGAGGGGCCCCGTGATGGAGCCCAAGCCTCTCAGGCTGTCCCTGGAGTGGCTCCTGTGAGGTCCCTTTCTCTCCAGGCCTCTCGGGCAGTCCCAGCCCCTGAGACACAGGACTCCATTTGGAGAAATGCTGATGTGCCGTCCAGGTCCAAAAGGTCAGGGTCAGACACAGCCAGGGAAGCGGCCACTTCCCTGAGCTCCTGGGCTCAGGGCAAGCCAGCTCCCATGGTGCCTGGCCTGTGCGGAATTTCAGTAAATACTCCGTGGACGATCCCCCTTAGTGTGACTTTGGGCACAGCCCTCCACCTCTGGGCCGCATCCACAAACCCAGCACAGCTTACAGGGATAACAGGGGTATCCAGCAGGATTAAAGGGACAAGAGGGTTTCTGAAGACCGCAAGTGCTCTTTACAAATGCAAAGCGTGGGCATCTTTGTTGTCATTATCATTGCGAGCAAGACAGTTTTGCCAGGGCAGAAGATGGGCCTGGGACCCAGAAAAACAGAGAATTTACAAAAACTTCACAAGGAAGATATGGATCAAGCCCACCAGGGCTCAGGCTCAGAGGGGATGCGTTCTCACCACCTCCGAGATAGGCCGGTCACAGGAACCTAAGAGATACCCCAGCCACCTGACGGACAGCTCAGTGGCGGGTGGCCCCGGTCAGGCCAAGCTGTATTTCCCCAGACAGATGGCTTCCCACAGAGCACACAAACCCCCCAGGGGCTGCCCATGAAATATAGAAATTATATAAATATTATACATAAATATTTTCTCATATACCTTCGCTATATAAATTATTCTCTTTTGCCCTAAAAACTATATATGTGAGGTAGACAAAAAAATACCCTGTGAGTGTTTCCCTTAAAGCTGTAGAATGAGGGGTCAGTGGCCACTGGTCCCCAGGGGTCCCAGCAGGGCTGAGGGGGATCTTTGGGGGCACCTGGAAGAGAAAGGGGCGGGAGCATGGAAGGAGGAAAGAGACAGGGGGCTAGACAGAAAGGAACCCCCCCAGGTCGAGGGGCCCTCAGAGCCCACACCCGTGACATTGGCCGAGGTCATCAGTGTCGGTGGCCAGCCATGGCCTCGGTCCCTTGGAGTCTGCCTTTATCCTCCGCAACCCCGGCACTGCCGGCCACGGAGTCGGGGTGCAGATGGTGTATGGGCGCATCGGGTCCCTTCTTCCTGCCCGTGAGGTCTCTGCTGCCTTATGACCAGGGCCGAGGCAAGGCGGAGGCAGACTTGGGGTCTCAGAGGAACCAGAAGGATGGGGCTGGCAAAGAGAAAGTCTCAGTGCGGTGGGGGAATGGAAGAAACGAGAAAAGCAGCTCTCTCTCCTTTTTGTTCTTCTTGCCATATGTGGGCCAGCTGCCTGGGTCGGCAAAGTCAGTCCAGGGAGGGGGTCTCGGGTAAGTTTGGCTTTTCATCAGAACCTCTGCAGCCAGAGATCCTTCCAGCATCTCACAAGCCGCCTTGACCCGCCAAAGCTAGGGCAACGCCTCACCCTCGGAGATCTCAGGGAGCCCGGGGCTTCTTCCTGGGCTCACGCTGGTGGTTTCGGAGCATACAGCTGATTCTGAAGTTTCCGTTCAGCCGCAGGTCAGCAACTCTAGGGAGAAAGGAAGCTGACGGAAGGCGCGGCAGGTCAGCAAAACGGCCAAGGGCTTCCCGATGGAGGTCACTTCCTCCTGGCTGGCCGTGGGCCCTGCTCTGGGGAAGCACTCAGCTTCCAGCAGAGTGACCCCTGAAAGGTCTTGGTTCTGAACCGGAGAGAGTGTGCGGCTAAGTGGGAACCCTCAGCCTGGCGGGTCCAAGGAGTGTGTGTGTGTGTGTGTGTGTGCGCGCGCGCCTGTATATATGTACCAATTACTCTCTCCTCCTCCCACATAGGGCCTTGGAAGGTAGCACTGGCAGTGTCCACAGGATCAGAGGAAATTAGCAAAGTGACTTCTATTCCTTAGGTAGGAGCCAAAGTGGGGGCCATCAGTAAGTGACGGGGGCTCCCCAGGAGCCAGGCTTAGCGAAGACTTCCCTGCACCTGTAACCCCAGGGCAAAAACCTTAATTAGATGAGTGGCTGCAAGAGCAGAAACGTAACCAGATTCGGGACTCTACTGTGTCACGACCGTCAGCTGTGTTGGGGCCTCACGGCACGGGTGGACCGCAGCCACAGGGGAGCTGATCAAACCGGGCTTAAGGGGAGGCTGAGAAACGGAGCTCCTTGCGTCCCCGCCTCGAACCAGAAGGCTGTCACCCTCTCCTGCGCGGGGACTAAAAGTTCCACACCCAGAAAACGGCGAGGGGTCACTGTCTCTCTGTGCAACCTCAGCGCAC